TGGTTCCAGTTGGAATATACAGGATGTTCCTTGATGATATGCTGATATTCAAGCGGCCGTATTTTCCGACAAATTTCAAGATTTAAACTTTATATGAATGTATCTCGTAACTTGAATGTATCTCCCAACTTTTGAGATATGTTGAAAATATGTATCTGCATGTATCTCTTCGTGATGGCAAAATTCAGTCTGCTATGTGACTGAATCGGTATGGGAATTTCAAAATGGTACATACTGTGGTTATCCAGTAATGGATGTCCTGCATGAAGTACTCAGCAAGTCTGTTCTCGTTTTTTTTCTAAAACGAAGCGTTCTGTCGAGTATCAAAATAAGGATTTTTTTGTACATTATTGAATAGGTTTTTATGGCATTGTGAGAAATTTGGACATTTTTCGTCGTTGCTTACTTTTGAGTGAGATATAAACCATAAAATACCCGTACTGGTGCCACTGGTAGAGAAAATGAAAATTTTTGTACATCAGAAAATGCACCTTGATGAATTTAATATGTGTACCAAATTTCATGAAGATATAATAGTATATTGTTTAATGAGCACGGAATGATAGTGATTCCCTACGAGAATGAAGTTTGCAGCATGAGCCACAGGCAAATGCTGCAATCATTCGAGAAAAAAAATCAGTATTCCGTGCAAGTTATACACTCTAATTTTCCTACGGCTATAATAGATAACAGCGGCATTTTCGATTTCTTCGTCTCGTAGACATCTAATAGACCGAGCTGTCATTGCTTGAAATTTGATATTCCATGGGCGATTAGTTTTTTTTAAATAATAACACAATGGAGTCATTGTGATATCAGATAGGGAAATAAAATTGATGACATACAAAGTACCTCATTGATGTATCGAACACAGTGAAACAAGAGTATTCTTGTGTTATAGCCGTAGAAAAATAATATTGTCCCATTCATTATCAAAAATCTGTATATTTTTCAGACTTTTAGACATACCTTCATATGAATTTTTCTTCTGAAAATGAGTCAAAGAATCATCCCCTCAAATATTAGCATGTCTTAAAGAAACACTCTGTATAAATGCCATTTATTCACTCGGATTGCTCTGAAAATTCACAGGCACTTTCTCAGATGGCAGGTTGATAGACCATTCCTTTTCACACCCTTATATAGATCACCTGGTATAGTGCTCATCTTTCAAGGCAACTATAATGATCCAAATGCTTTTAACAAACAATATATGTTCCATTTGAGTGAAGATGGCTGGCGTCAGAGAATGCTGATGATGCTCCTTCATATATATAATTATATTTTTTTTACGTCTACTGTCTAATTCTGAATGGTTCTCTTTCAATTGAACTAATTGACCATTCAATTATATTTTATTGTGGCTTCGAAATTGAAATAACAGTGATCTTTAGGATTTTGAGCAATATGTTTCAAAAATATTATCAAATTTTACTTGAAGACAGGGCTGTTTCAAATGTACTTTTTCAAATGGTTCATCTTGTAAATTTTTTTCGTTATAGATTCCTTTTTCCATTCGTTTTTCAACCTTACCAAGATATTGAAGATCCGTTGCGACGTTGTCAAATCATAAACTATTGAGGATTATTTCACTTTTGCAGAGTTCAGATAGATCTGTTGTGATACAAGCATTTTTTCTGTTTATCTTTCAGGGCGCACGAAAGGGAATCCCTGTGATATTCGGAAAACTTCGTGAGTGCGTAGGAAAGATATTGAGTGAAGGTAGGTATTAGAATCTTTTTATAACTTTTGAAGATTATAAGCTCTTGGGAATTCTTCCTTCGACATCAAAGAATTCCAACGCAATTATGACATTCAGATGAATATTTCTTGTGATTTGGTTTCATCATGGTACCATGAAGTTGTTGGGACATCAGTATCGCTGGCGGTTTTTCGACGTGTTTCAACAGAGGTATTTCACAGAAAGTTCATTTTGGTAGGAATAAAAAAATTGAAAAACATATATTTGAGCCATTTCTCACGGTGATCGACGTCATGGCATTTCTTTTAGAAATCAATGTTCTTGCCTATTATAAATCACCCTTCACAACCTTATAGCAACAATGCATTCCAATTGTAAGGTAAATGATTGTATTTTAGTGGATTTTATGAGGCTGCTATTTCATCTATTATGTCATAGATTATGTCGACATGTGCAGTTTGAGTTTGTGCTAGACTGTTCAGTATACAAACACTGAGGATTGATATTTCATTAATGTTCTTCTCCTATAACCAATAGTCTGATATAAAAGTTGGTAAATACACTTTATGCAAGTGTTATCTTGGAGTCAGTAACTCATTGATCAGTTGCAAGTGATTATTGAAGATTACTGAGACGTCTTGTCGATCATTAAATGTTTGATGGTTTCAGAAGAAATGATGAAGAATAGGGAATGAAAGTCGGGATGTACTTATATGAATGCATCCTCAATATCTAGATTTTCTTATATGATAACATTTCAGGGATTTTCACGTTCATATAATATCACATGGAACTTGGAATTATATTCTGATGGAATGGATTCGTATGAACGGACGCCGATTGAAACTGTTTTTCCCAATTGAAAAAATTGTGCTTGAATGGTAGTCGAGGACCACCTTACTACCTGCAGACCATTTCTTGTCAAATTCCATGAAAGAAATGGATATAAACATTTCTCTTATCTTGTTTAATTTTCTGAATACAGGGTATCGATGTTTTCACAAATGGATAGTTTATTTACAATTACCCAAAAATCTTCATGTCAATTGACACTAACATGGAACTTCTTCTGGTGTGATTAGATTCGAAATTATAATTCCACTGGTGTCGCAGTATGTACCTTATAGATATCTATGGTGGTTATCGATGTACCCCACTGGTTTTCGTATAGTAACTGATTAGATTTAACAATTGGAAATTTGATTTTCTTGTCCCTTGTGTTATTCATGTATCTTGCTCAGTTATTGAGGACATTATAAAAATTCGATTCCACTCCAGACTGCAATGTCGGTGCTGATGTACTGAGGAGGAGAAACTGTCTATCATAGTCATGGTCGAGGCCCGGCCAAGGCTAGCAATCAGGCGAGAAAATATACAGTTTTTTTCGCCAAGGATCGAATTCAATTTTTTCGTCGACCTCGAACACTCATATTCACAAACCACGGTCTTATTAACACGTGATCTCTATCGGATTTCATGAATAATCAATTCGTCAACAGCAGATGACAGTTGACAGCTGTCAATCGCTGCTCTAGCACCATATCATAGTGACACTAAAAGTGTTTGCGGAAGAAAAGTGTTAGCGATCGAACTGCAGAGGTCTAGGAAAAAAATACTTCCAATCCCTACATCCTACATTCAAAAAATGAAGCAAGTTGGTACGGGACACAACATTCACTGAAATATGACTTAAAGAATCAATCAGCTCCTGAATTATTTACAGCCTGCATAATGTTTCGGAAATTGTTTACCAATAATACCGCCACATATATTGGCCAGTTCATCAAGTGACATACAATTTCAGCAATGAACACTAATAATCTGTCAACCAAAAAAAATCGTCAAAATGATGCACAATTCCGACATATGTAAAATGAATGGTTCACACAATAGATATGAAATAATACAGGGGGTGAGTAAGATTAAGACCGACAAACTTCGTAGACGAAAATCTAACTTCATTTTGAGTTGAAAAAGTTCCTATCAACGTATGGCCTAGAATGCATTCTCTCTGAGATACAGTGTGTCAACAGTATGAAAAAGTTAGGATTTATAGAAAAACACATTCTGCAATACTTGAACAGAATAATGAAGGTGTTTACGTGAAGTTTTAATTTTCGTTTTTAGTTAAACAGTGGCGTAGTTACAGTCGTATGTTGCCACATTTTATTTCATATTTTTTGTTGGACCGATGGAATGTCAAATTGTTGTATAACATCAGTTAGGCTCATTAATACTCAACCTAAAAGTGTTGACATCCCACATGCCTAAATGTAGAGGATCCTGAGATATTTACGAAAATCTAAAGATATGTCCTGGGGCAATATTGCTACGTGTTCAGAAAAAAAACTTCGAAGCTTGATTTTCACACATATCCAACAACTACACTTCATCTAGTTGTATGTCAATGAGCGTCAATTGTATTTCAGAATAATAGTCCATTCAATTTCAATAAGCGTCAATTCTCATTTAAGAATAGTCACTATTATTTCATAATGCACCAATTTCATTTCAGAATAGTCAATTCAATTTCAGAAAGCGTCAATTGTATTTCAGAATGGTCAATTGAAGTCCAGAAAATATCGATTGTGTATTGTGAATATTATTTGGAATTCAATTGACGAAATACAACTGGAAAAGATGTACAGTCTTCAAGATATAATTCAATATGAACTGTTCACCTTCAAATAACATGTGGAATATATTGGAATTGTTTTTTTTTTCATCTAGTTCTCTCACCCCGTACTATGTTTTCAGTATTCTCAGCATTCAAAAATGTTCAGGAGATTGAGAACATTTTTGATTCCTCGTGAGAGATCAGCGTTATGTAATCATGCATGTAGCAAATTGTGTGTCTACTCAATATTACCCCAACATAACTTTAGTTTTTCACAAATATCTCAGGAACCTCTACATTTAGGTTTGTTGAATGTTTTAACTTTGAGGTAAAATATCAAGGAAAATGTGGCGACTGATATTCGAAAATGGAAACTCCATGTGACCACATTGATCAATCTGTGATAGTATAGTGAGTCAAGTTTTTTTTTAACACAGGGGTTCTGAGGAAACTAATATAATTTCACTGGTATACCTTACACACCCTGTATCTTAGAGAGGTTGCATTTCAGGACATACGTTGGTAGCAAATTGTGGTGAGGAATCTGTATAAAAAGTTTGTTAGTCTTATTCTGACTCACCCTGTATACATATTATTTAAGAATTTGATCATCCGAAAATTGTCGAAAGATAGCCATGCAAAAAAGAGAATGAAAGTGAAAAAGAAATATGAGTAACTAACCTGGAGACCAGTAGAGGCATCAAGAGGTGCGGAATTCACATACACTAGCACACTCAATAAACACACGAGACTTACGTAACACCTCATTTTGACTAGAGTAGGTTATAGATTCTGAAACAGAAAAAGTGCATTAGTATTACTCACGGTATAAGTATATGGTCTTTGCAGTATCTTAGCTTTCTCTCGAATGTGAATTTTATGCAGTCGGACTCTTAATAACCATATGATAAAATTTCAAAACATCTTGCAAGAATTATATTTTAATGGGTTAGTTGGTAACTACAGCCAGAAAAGCATTAAATCAATACAAATGGAAAGTTTGAAGCGACTTAATAGTTAATATTTTTTGTGGTTACAATAGCTATAAAAACTATATGTGTATTTTAAATATTCCTAGATAATATCATATTCCAATTGTTTCAACAGGTATTGATTATTCATTAGTTTATTCATTAAATTCATGTGTTGTATTGGGAAATAACTGTGGTGAATGTATATGCAGTAGACAAATAAACATATTGAATATTAAGTAACCAATCAATTCGTTATAAGAAAATTTAAATGATCAGAATACGAATGAACGACTGTATAGGTGAAAAAATGAGAAAATCAGAAGAGCCAAGAATGAAGAGAAGGATTTACTGATATTTATTCGTTCTCTTATCAGTAGAGTAAATAGACTGGCAAAAGGCTTCTAGAATAGATTTTCGTGGGCACTTTGTTGCTAAAATGTAAAACCCATTTTTTAGCATTCCTAAGACCTTTGCAATGCAAAATCACTTGGTCGTCCAAAAATCGTAGTAGGAGGGGAGTGGGGGGAGCCTTTTTTTTAAAAAAAGACAATTTTTTTTTTCATCAAGATTTGAGATAATTCATTCCTCAAATTTGTATACCCATCCGGATATCAGAAATATTTTTTTTCAATTTATAAAAATACGTCGCAGCATTGTTGTATATGGAGCGCCTTCACACAAAACCGCTTGCCCTGCACACCCATATTTTTGAAATCATTTAACTCGCTCTACCTCGAAAAGTATTGGGTCTAGCAAAAAAAGGTTTTCTATAAACGTTAAAGACCAAACATCAGAGAACATGTTGGGCTTTTTAGAATTTTGATTGGATAATTGGTTCACGAGAAAATTAAATAAATCGAACGGCATGTCGCGATGAACAGCGGCGACCGCAGAGACACGAGGAAGGGCGAGATTGCTATGCCTAAGTCAACCGAAAATCCACTCTACTGATGGCGATGTTGGTACGGTCGATTTTACCGTGACTTCACTGTTTTCTTGTAAATTCGAATGCATTGTTCTGGTAGCGCGGATTCCACTGAGATTACTAGTGATGAGTGATAAAGTTCTTGTCTATAAATCATATTATTAAAAGCGAATAATAACTTATTGGTAAGTTAACAATATTTAGAACTTACTTAGTGAGTATTAGGTACAGTTACTATTTTTTTGTATCCTCTAGAAATGGATTTAACGAACAGCAGCAGCTCTGACAGTGAAATTGAGTCGAAAATCAAATTAAGACGTGCTTCTTTTCGTAAAACTTACAATGGACAAGACGTTTTTATTCAAAATGTGTGTCTTACTTGTTTGGAAGGAGGAAAGCTGGTTATCTCTCATGAAAAATAAAAAAAAACTTTCATTGAATGCACGAAAGAACGTATGACAAATTGTCATGATGACAAATATATGCGGCATATATTCTCAAAGTTTGATGATCTAGAAAATCGAAGTTTTTTAAAATGGCACAAAAACTGTTATAAATCGTATACGAGCTCAAAGAAAATTGTCTCCTACAAGTCAAAAAATTACAAACTGACAGCTGATTTTCCAGCAGATTTTTGTAGAGCAGATATTTTTCAAAAACGTCCCTTGCGGACACCTTTTTGATTCAAAAAAGTGCGTATTTTGTCAGAAGCGATCACAGTATCAAAAACTAAGCCAAGTTATGACTCATAATATGCAAGAAAAAATAAGAACAATATCACGAAGTAACCCTGTGTTTTTTGCAAGAACTGGAGACAACGACTTAGTTGCCTCGGAAATAAAATATCATGCCGCTTGCGTTTCAACAGAATTACGCAATCTCAATGAAAAATCGGTTGGAAATACTAATATTGAAAAAACAGAGAAACTTTTTGAGGAAATGAAGGAGGGTTTGAAAAAAGGTAAAGGATACAGCACAAAATCAATTAGCAAAAGATATCGTGAAATTAGTGGCATTGACGACATGAGTGAGAAACAAATAGTGAAAAAAATTAAATACTATTTTAAGGATGATGTTGAGTCAATAAGGTCTCCTAGACAAAACAAGCCCACAATATTCTTGAAGAAGTTTTCAAAAGAACAGGCAATTGAGACAATATCTTTTGCCAATTGATTTTGTGCAGTATCCTTCACCTTTATTCAAACCCTTCTTCATTTCCTCAAAAAGTTTCTCTAATGCTTCATCGTCTGTTTTTTCAATATTAGTATTTCCAACCGATTTTTCATTGAGATTGCGTAATTCTGTTGAAACGCAAGCGGCATGATATTTTATTTCCGAGGCAATTAAGTCGTTGTCTCCAGTTCTCGCAAAAAACACAGGGTTACTTCGTGATATTGTTCTTATTTTTTCTTGCATATTATGAGTCATAACTTGGCTTAGTTTTTGATACTGTGATCGCTTCTGACAAAATACGCACTTTTTTGAATCAAAAAGGTGTCCGCAAGGGACGTTTTTGAAAAATATCTGCTCTACAAAAATCTGCTGGAAAATCAGCTGTCAGTTTGTTATTTTTTGACTTGTACGAGACAATGTTCTTTGAGCTCGTATACGATTTATAACAGTGTTTGTGCCATTTTAAAAAACTTCGATTTTCTAGATCATCAAACTTTGAGAATATAAGCCGCATATATTTGTCATCATGACAATTTGTCATACGTTCTTTCGTGCATTCAATGATATTTTTTTATATTTTTCATGAGAGATAACCAGCTTTCCTCCTTCCAAACAAATAAGACACACATTATGAATAAAAACGTCTTGTCCATTGTCAGTTTTACGAAAAGAAGCACGTCTTAATTTGATTTTCGACTCAAGTCATACTCAAGTTCACTGTCAGAGCTGCTGCTGTTCGTTAAATCCATTTCTAGAGGATACAAAAAAAATAGTAACTGTACCTAATACTCACTAAGTAAGTTCTAAATATTGTTAACTTACCAATAAGTTATTATTCGCTTTTAATAATATGATTTATAGACAAGAACTTTATCACTCATCACTAGTAATCTCAGTGGAATCCGCGCTACCAGAACAATGCATTCGAATTTACAAGAAAACAGTGAAGTCACGGTAAAATCGACCGTACCAACATCGCCATCAGTAGAGTGGATTTTCGGTTGACTAAGGCATAGCAATCTCGCCCTTCCTCGTGTCTCTGCGGTCGCAGCTGTTCATCGCGACATGCCGTTCGATTTATTTAATTTTCTCGTGAACCAATTATCCAATCAAAATTCTAAAAAGCCCAACATGTTCTCTGATGTTTGGTCTTTAACGTTTATAGAAAACCTTTTTTTGCTAGACCCAATACTTTTCGAGGTAGAGCGAGTTAAATGATTTTAAAAATATGGGTGTGCAGGGCAAGCGGTTTTGTGTGAAGGCGCTCCATATACAACAATGCTGCGACGTATTTTTATAAATTGAAAAAAAATATTTCTGATATCCGGATGGAAATACAAATTTGAGGAATGAATCATCTCAAATCTTAGATCTGAAAACAGATGAAAAAGAAAATTGGCTTTTTTTTAAAAAAAGGCTCCCCCCACTCCCCTCCTACTACGATTTTTGAACGACCAAGTGATTTTGCATTGCAAAGGTCTTAGGAATGATAAAAAATGGGTTTTACATTTTAGCAACAAAGTGCCCACGGGATAGCAAGATAGGATCCCGTTTAAACTCTACTATATCAGTATACTCGCAGTTCCGCTACTTTTTCCATAACTTTGAATAGCGTAGGTATTCGGTTTGTTTCAAGAAATTCCAAGAGATAACATAATTAATAAATCCAGGCGCGTTCCTGAGATACTGACAATATACGTGTATCTATATCGTAGTAGTAAGCATATAAACAAAGTATATGTCGTGGAATCCATTCATTTTTCTCAAAGTGATCCAGAATTTTCCGAAGCGAAACACAAAATATATAGTAAAAAATTGGAAATTCACTACAGTTAAAACATTCATCAAAGGAATGTTCGGCATTATATGAATAACCAATAATGAGTTATATAGAAATATCATGCGATAAATAGAGATGGGTATTGACTGAGAGAATACATATATCTTCGTGCGAAGATTGATATGATTTATAAATTTATATAATTTTCTGAATCAGTTATATACGGTAGAATATATACAGCGTGTCTCACATTAAACGGCCCCCCTCTATATCTCAGTTATTAGTCAAGCGATTCCAATCAAATTTGGTGTGGTATGAATCACCATCAATATGATCAGTTTCACAGAGATGCACATCATCTTAGACAGTGCCGTGCGTTTTTATTGAACTAAAATGGGGTCGATTTTTCATAAAATCATATTAGGCATTATTTTACAGGAAATCTAACCTCATATTATTATTCCTCATGCTTTCGATCCCCCATATCCAAAAAATCACCTAATTCCGAATTAACAGGATTGCCTTAATTTTTTTCATTTTCAGTCTCGAATACATAGTGACTTCTAATCAACTATGAATTTTGGAATGTTCAATGGCTCCGGTGGGTGGAAAATCATGATTTGAATCTTTTATGTTGAACTCACCGTTTCCGAGTAAATAGTTATTACGTTCGCCAAAATGCTGTTTAGATGTGCCTGTTTTTCTGAAACCCTTCATAGGCATCTTATGAAAATCCACATTTGTAGGTTTGAAATCACGAAGAACAATATCATGAGGTCAGTTTTCCTGTGAAAACATGCCTAATATGATTTAATAAAAAACTGACCCCTATTCATTTCAATAAAAATGAACGGCACTGTCTAAAATGATGATTGTCTTTGAAGAACTGGCCACATTGAGGATTATCCATACCGATACAATGCCTCAGATTGGAAAAATTATGGAGATCAAATTTGCTTAGGAATTATTGAGAATTTCAGGAATAGGTATAAGAAATTCCATACGAACGCCTCTGAAGGCATCAACAAAAAATGTGTTACACTAACTGATGTCTCTTGATACATAGTACAGGTATCCCAAATTTCATCAGAACATATGGAGTGGTATGACAGATATTGATAAAAAATCCTGACATATCATAAACAAGTATATATGGAGAAGCACCATCATTAATTAGGTTAGATATATCGAAAACAAATGAAAATTATAGAAAAATTGCTGTTGGAAGAAAGTTCACTAATTGAACTTGTCTTCAATTGGAATATCAAAATGTGGTCAGTGGCGTACCCCAAAAAAGGAATATCAACTTTCATCACAGAGAATGGGAAATAACTATCTCTCTGCATTTCGATTGATATGACATGTTTTTAGTGCACATTCACGATGATATATTACCCTAGGAATTCCAGAGCAGTACCTTCAAAGGATTATAAAATATTCAAGAAAAACTGGAATCAAAATTATTCTTCAACGCCCTCTCACGGCTCAATGGCGCATTCTCCAATAGAAGTAAGTAAAGACATGGAAACCATCCATCTCACCTTGTATATCATTTATTTCAACATCATTATTTCAAACATTCACCATGCTCCATATTCATGTGGAAGATTCATCATGAGATTGAAGCAAAAGAACATGTGAATCAAATGAAGCGTGTGAGATATGGAAAAAAATCGGATGTATGATAGTCTAGCTCCTATATATATATATCATCATATTATCTGAGTATATCCTTTGAATCACTCTAACCTCAAATTTATGGAATGTCATGTCCAAATAACATCAACGAATAATGGCAATATTGTTCGGTTCATTGAATGGTGAATTAATACAGTAATATTCTATAAACAGAAAAAAACTCTTACTATGAGTTATTCAATTCTCAATATTGAAGAAGTTTACGCTAAATAATGATTTTGTTTGTGGGGTATTCTTTGGAATTCACAATATCCTATTTGTTGAGGTTTTTCTTGAAATATAAAATTTCCATAAACTGATTTATCACTTTGTTTCGAGTTGAATTCAAATTCTACGGAGAAAGAATGGATCAACCTACTATTGGGTATTATTTTGAGGTACACTATTCGAAATTAAATTGAATCATTTCAATGGAACATTTAGGTGAGAACTGAGTATTGATTTGACACTTGAGGAAGCGTATTTATCCAAACCAAATGGTCCATACAAGATCATATCTCCAATTTGCATTGAAGTATAACGCCTCATAATGATTCTTACAATAAGTCTTACCTCCAACAAAAGAAATTAAACTATAGTTATTATACCAATTTCTTTCCCAAGATGAATCATGCGATCCTCATTGTATGGAATTAATAAGTATAAATACTAAGTATGTATCCACAATTCCAAATAATTAATCACCACCTAAAAATGTAAGGAAACAAAACTCGAAACTTCAAAACTGCATCGAAGACTCAAAGATCGAAGTAATTGTTAAACACATCAGAACCAACTACAAAGTAAAAATCTTTACGCTTCGCTAAAAGTATAAGTTAAAAATAATTCGAGGGAAGAGTAGGGAAAAGAAGTTATCATTGAACGGAGTGGACCTAGACCTACAAAATGTAGTAACACGGAGCCAATGACCAATGACATTTGAGATTCGTGCATTGATGGGTATAATTATTTGTCGAAATAGTTGATGACACTTTATTATGTCTTATGGAACGATTTTTATAATATAATTGGGGAATTTCCGACATTAGCCGCAATGCAGGTATATATAAGATAATAACTATCCTGAATTTGATTGAATATATATATTAGAAAACTGTATATTGATCCAATGTTGCGCTAGATTGATATTGTTATGCAATCAAATTTCGCTGAAGTTAGTCTTAATTGAAGTTCTACTTCGGAATTTGTAGTAAGGTTTGAATGCATAGCAAGTATATTATATAACATATTCAGTTGCTCAAGTTCAATAGAGTTTCGATTGATAGAAATTTGATTCGAATGAATATAATATATTGAATTGTTTCAATTCCTTGTCCCATTTCTCATTGTTCAAAGATATTTTGGTAGAGAAGAAATATGATACAGTATACCTACTGAATCAAAATATGTATTTTGGTGCCTCTAGAAATACATTATCGAAGTAGGTTAGTGATTTAAAAACAAAGAGTTTAGGTACCTGATGAACTTTGCCTTAGGGAAAAGTCAAAAAATTCAAAAGTTTTTTGGGATTTTCTCTCCTAGTTTCACTGATGTGCTGTACACGTGGTCAGATATACTAATGAATGTATACATATATATTACAGAGAGACTCAGATGCGAATAGATTTAATATTCATCTGAATATTTCATAATCACCCATAGAAAGTAGCAAGGGCACTATAGGCACCAGTGCCTCCCAGAGCCATCGACATTATTCTATTTTATTCATCAATCTATTGATCGATATCATTTTTCCTATTCAAATATTGTTTCGACTCCAGAATGTGGTTGCTTCAATTCTACTTTTTGTATGAAGCCATAGTTGATTTGAAATACAAACGAATAATTATATACTTTCATTTATTTACTCTTTGTATGAAAGCCTATTGAAAACGTCTGTTCACTATAGCATCGATCAACAACTTTCTGGAATTTGTTGTTCGATGACCCTGGAAAGTGATCCTGGTTGCGTCTCTGCTTCCGACATCGAAGTGAGTAGATTAGATTTAGAGTAGAGCCTTCGGGTTATCTCCATAGGCTAGCTTTCAGGTCCCCTGTGCACTTGGCACAAGTTCATCTGTTTGCATAATTGCCATATTTTTGTTGCACCTTGAATAAATAAATCAACATTGCTAAGACGAATTCGCTCATGCTTCCAGATTTTTGAAAAATCACCAGAATGCGTCATTGTGCATGGAAAATGATATCTCCATAATGTGGATTCAGATTGAAAAAATTTCAAAACTATCTCGAGACCAAGCAACAAACTTTATGTTTGTGGTATTGAACTCCATAATTTCATCAATGGAATCGTAAAAACCATGTTTTATCAGAAGATAGATATGATTTTTCCCATCAAATAAATTTGATATAAAGTTGTATTCAATAAAAAAGCATACAAGTATCAAGAAGGAAGGAAAACGTCATTCTTGTTCTAATCTTGTGAAAATGGCTCAGCCATTGCTCTGTGCTTTTGACAACCTATGACAACTGTCAACATTTGGTAAACAATCATTTCCGATTGCCCGTTCTACGCAAATTAGATTTCGTTAATATCTTTTTCTCCGATTGGCAGCAAATATTGATTTTGCTGACACATAACAATCAGCAAAGTATTACTTTTCCTGCCTAGGCAGCAAAGTGGTTACTTTGCTGATTGATATGTATCAGCAAAATTAATAATCCATAAATCGTTTATAATTTCCTTCAAATTTCATCCGAGACTTCTCCGGCAACAAATTCAACTCTATATTTTTTGCCACCTTCCTCATTTCTGGAGGTGTAAGTACTTTCAGGTCGCTATCACTGTCCATTATATAATAATTCAAATAATCGCACAACTGTCAGAAATTTCATGAATTGTCAAACTATAATTATTATTATGAACATTTCCATAGCAACCAACCATTCCAACAACTGCGATTTCTATCAAATTTTATTTCAATTGAACATTACAGGGAAAATAAAGAGATATATATCATTATGAACAATCGGAGAAAAAATTATATGTTCAACTCGGCAGCAAAGTAGATTGACTGCCTCAGCTGGATTCCTAGCATCGCTACGCTCGGCTATGAATTCAGCCTCGGCAGTCAATCTACTACTTTGCTGACTAGTTAAACAAATAACTATTCTCTAATATAGGTGTACACTTTTGTTTTCGAATGCAACTGTACTTCTGTATACCGGGTGTAACAGGATCATGGTACACCTCTTTTTTCTCCTTCAGTTTCAGAGATGAGTGATTGAAATTTGGAATGGCTCATCAACTTGATGATCTTCATGTTTTGTCATAAACAGATTTCATTGTCCACTTTCAAGTTTATTGGAAGTGGTAATAACTCTTGATTCTCAAATAATTGCATTTTCGAATTGTGCATCATTTTCTGAATCGATAATGATACCACATAAGTGACATTTCAAATTTCAGTAGAGATTTTGATTTCATTTTTCGACTTCTGAGTGTGCCATGACAATTCTGATCGAGTCTGATGTTCTTATATCGACAAGTGTAATGCTAAAAATGATTTAATTCGGTCAAAAATGAATAATTTCTTGATTCAATCATCAAAATGGTTCAATGTACTATGATCCTGTTTCACCCGGTATGTACTCAATTTTGAGTTTTTGTATGCGGACTCACTCACATCATCCTGATCTATCCACACAATGTGAATTTTTTGTGAAACACTACGAACATTCAGAGTAATTCAATTATTTGTTGATGAAATGCATCATTTTGAATAGAAATATATAACTCCGGAATATTATGTCTGATATTTGTTCAAACAGGAATATAACGATATACCGTGGCAATTTCACACTGATTAGTTATCATTCTGTATATCGTTTATCTGTCGAAATCATAGTCTCATATTGTTCTGACAAGTAACTGGAAGATTGAGTAAGCCATCTATGAAAACCGAATAAAAATTAGTTATGGGGTCCATGAGTAATTCGATTTCGAAATCGGTCTATAATTTCAGCTATGACGTTAATTTTGTCAGTTTATTTTTTTCGATACCAGATATATGAAAACCAGCATTTCACGTAATAGCAGAATCTTATAGAAGCAGATTCTTCTTGCAATACTGCGTGGAGACCTGTAGGAAATAAAAGTCTTCAAGCCCGAAGGAGTTATCCAAAGGCAGATTCTTTTTAAGATCCTCTTATCAGAAATGTACTCCTCAGCCAATTGGGATGATAAATTCATGGAATGTTCCTTTCATAGAGTTTCTTCATTTTTGTATTCGTCAATCGCAGAAGCTTATAGATTGTATGAGGTGCACCTCAGCACTTATTGGCTAAAAGTGCTGATCTCGCAACAATTGAACGACATGGTTGGTGGATAAGCTCACCTATGGCAGAAAGTTATTCCGAGGATTCTATTTCTGATGAGCTTGATATAACATATTATAAAAGGGGGAAAAGTTTCGATAAACATGAGTCCAACAATGGCTCCTATATGAGGAAGACACGTCCTTCTTAAAGGGGGCTCCTGAAGATTATATTTCCTGAATATTTACGAAATGCTTTGTGATAAAATGATGCAATTTGGTACAAGAAATAAACTTTCTATGCCCAATGCACTGAAATTGGTGAAGCTTAGCAGGCAAATCATAGTACACCCAGTATATTGATAATATTAACATCAACGTAGATTTTTCCAGATTATTCCTGGGATTTTCTCTCCTCGTTACTATAGAATAATAGTATATTATGCGACGAGCGTGTAATGATGGCCATTACTCATGAGAATGAAGTTTGCGACGTGAGCCGCAGGCGAACGTCGTAATCATTCGAATGAGTAGGTAATAGCCATTACACGCAAGTAGAATACTATACTTTTTCTATGACTGAGTGATGAACTGGTTGAGTTCATCAGCAGTGAATATCTTCGCTTTCTTTGACATAGATCCAATTTTCATTAATGATAAGGACATCGCTATAAGCGGAGGAACAATAAGTGGGGATCTGAAATCGGATCACAGTCTTTCTCACTGTATTGTTGATTTAGAATCAACTGAAAAAGCTAAAAATAAATTCGTCACATACAGGGATTACTCAAATTTTAATTCTGAAGCTTTTCAAGAAGATCTACATAAACTACCATGGTTTGAACTCTTGAATGAAACTGAGCTAGATAGAAAAGTGGAAATTTTCAACGGATTTTTATTCCAAGTTTTTGACCTTCATGCTCCAAAACGATCGGCTAAAGTTACAAAACCACGTGCTCCTTGGCTAAATCAACACTTGAAGGATGCGATAAAGATGCGAAATAAAGCACTGAGTAAATTTAAAAAATCTCGCTTAGATGGTGACTGGGAGGACTATAAAAGATTACGTAATTCAACACTTACGCTTATTAGGAATGAGAAAAAAGCATATATTGATACTTTTTGTAGAGATAATGATAGCAGACGTGTTTGGAAGACATTGAGAAATCTTAAGGTGGCTCAGAACAAAAGTAATTCAATTCCTGACGACATTTCAGATCCTAATAAAATTAATGATTTCTTTGCTCAAATTTGGTCTGGTTCGTCGGATGATAACTGTACGGATGCTATTGATTTTTATGAGAATGATGATTCATTTCAAGGAGCTGATAACTTTCAGTTCAAGATGATCAGTGTGGAGCAAACCCATGATTATCTTTCGCAAATTAAATCTGCAGCTTATGGTATTGATGATTTATCAATCAATATGATTTTACACTGCAGCCCTTTCATTGACCCTTTCATTACACATTTAATTAATTACTCTATCGAAAAACAAACATTTCCTACACTATGGAAAATTTCTCT